GCAAATTACTTTCAGAATCTGAAAAAAATAACTATATCGTCCGCATACAACAATATGCAGATATTTGAATCAATAATGTTTAATATCGTATGTTTAGAATCGTATGTTTAATATTAACCTTCTACTTGAAGTTCTTCACACAGATATTGATATGTATGAGAACGACTCCACGGTCCACACATCAGCCAAAACAGTATGATCAATATGATATCTGGGCGGTGTGATAAAAACAAAATAGCCAACACTGTCAAAACTAAATCTATGTTGATTACAATCTCTCAGACATTGAGAAATTTATCTCCCTCTGATCCAGATCTCAATGACGTCACAGTTAATGGGAAACCAGTCAAGCAAACCACGTCTGAAAAGTTGATTGGTGTTATTGTGGACACAAATCGTAGTTGGAAGGATCACACTATTTTTCAATCCCCAACAGAATTATATCACAACTCTTTTATTTTGCCCCATTTTTATATTCTGTTCAGTTTGGGGCTTGTCATAAGGTATTTCAAAACTATATCGGTTATAGAAAAGTACAGTTCGTCTGAGGTTTCAGGCAGACACTCATTTAACGTTCTTTTTAGATCTCTTCGTTGGTTACCATTGCATGATCTGGTTTATTTTCGCATACAATTAACAATATAGATCAGCTGTTGCCAACATTCTTTATATCAAAACAAAACCAGGAGCACACAAGGTAGTTTTCAAAAAAAGTCAGCCCATCGCAAGAGCACATGTGTAATATAGTTTAGAACATGAAATAAAGCAATTAGATAGTATTAATATTTTTAATCTTAAAATTCACTTATTATTATTTTCACGTTCATGGCGATCTACGGTTTCATTGCGCCCTCAACGGTGGAATAAGAGGCAAACTAAATAACCTGTGATCTGTCTGTAATTTATGTGAGACCCATCACCACCACCCGTTAGTAGTGTTTTTAGAAAGACAATCAATAATCTATAATTATAAAATTTTCATTATGATCTTTGACCTTTCTTACACGTGACATTTACCGGCCACTAGCAGAAATCGTGAATAGCCGCTCACTTCTATACTTCAAACAACCCGTGTTCAAAAAAATACATAAATATGAACCGTAGGAGCACGCCCACTTGATTTCTCCTGGATGCGCATAGTCCATTCCTTGTCGAATGTAATTGCATTTCACTGAATTTCCCTCCACATTTTCCCTTTTAAATCTGTCATATAGAAAGTAACTGTAAAAGATTAAAGAGGGAGAGTCATCACCTGCGCACACGCGGGAATTGAGTTCCAAACGCAAAGGATCGTGGGTAGACGCTTGTTTGTAAACAATGACACTCTATGGGCACCTTACGCATGCGTAGGTGACGACTCCCCGCTTTAATATCATTGTTTAGTTTACCGTGTAAATTGTATTATTGAAATGAGAATCACATCACGTAACCTTAGCGTGGCGGTTTTGGAAGAGCAGTAACAATAAACAAATAAGAATAAACAAGTTCATGGTCGACAATAGCTTGGCCATGTCAGATTAAGTTTATAAAATGACACTTGACTATCGTCTCATGACTTCAACCCTTAACTAACCATGGTAATAGCCTGTAAAATGTAATCGAAACGATAGCAGTCATAAATAGTCTATTTTTGTTGTTTATTTATGGTTACTTAGTATTTTGTAATTTACAACAAATTTAACAGGTTTTGTAAATATTTTGGCTACCAAATAAAATGTTGTACCTGTCTTAAAATGACTGACAGCTGGCTTGCCAAAAGCCTGTACTAACCATACTCGAGTAATTATTTTCACCACAGTTGAGAGGCTGTGGTTTGTGCAAGTTTGCGTCCCACCCTGCGAGCGCCCTCTATCGGCCGATAAATAAGCGCGATATCGAGTTTGTCGCTGAGGGCGCTTATTCATGGTTATGACAGCTAAAAACACAAAAAAGACAG